GAGGCCCAAAGGTGGTATGGTAGTTAGGGCACTGGACTCCCACATGGCCAACCACTGTTCGAGTCCCAGATCTGGCAGCTTACTTTCTCTCTCTCTCGCTCTCTCTCTCTCTCTTTGGTGAGCACATATGCCCTATGGCAAATTTTTAAAAAGTAATAATAAATAAAATTAAATAAATAATTATAAAAACAAAACAAGAACCTTGTTGTGGGTACTTGTTTTTCTCTCTTGTGAAATGAATGATAAACTTTCAAAAATAAATAAATAGCCGCCAACAGGTGGCGTGGTGGTTGTGGGCACTGAATTCCCATGAGGACAACCATAGTTCAACCCGGACCTGGAGGCTGGTTTCTCACTTTCCTTCTCTGTGTGTGTGTGTGTCTCTGGTCAAATTAAAAAAAGAAAAGAAAAAAAGTAATAGTAATAAATAATAAGCATTTCATATCTATATCTAGCTATATAACTTACCAGGCACTTTCTCCTTTCCTAAGTGAAGTGACTCAAGATCAGCATTGCCTTTTAGAAAAATAAATATGAATATATCAAATTCCATCCTCTCTTTTTGAAATCTTCTGTGGTAGAATACTGTATTACATATATTTTCACTTTCCTAGTAAAATTCTTCATGAAAGATCACTCCTTAGCATATAGCCCAAGGCCCTTCCCAACTAACCCAAACCCTATCTCTGCCCTCTCTTCCTACCACGTCAACTTTTTCCTGTCTCCTAACCCAGCCATTGCCTGAACTGCTTCCAATGGGTCCTTCACCATACCTTGAAGGTCTCTCTCTCCCTTGCCTGATAAGTACTACTCCTCTTAGACTATTTCAAACTGTTTCTCTAAGAAACTCTTTTAAACTTGTGAAAGTGCAGATTTTATTTAGAGTCTAGAGCACTATATTTGTATTGCTTCACTATTACAACACTTAATGCTATCATTATCATAAGGTATCTGATGGCATATGCTTTTCTCCAACTACACTCAGTCCCTTGGGGAAAAACCATTTTATTCATCAGTTACCCCAGTGTCTAGCATACTGCCTGGCACACAGTGGGCACTCAGGAAGCATTAGTTAAGTGGACGAGTTTGGGGACAGACTTCATCCTCAATGTCTACTGGTACTCAGGTCCAACAGAAGCTCCCAAACCATGGCAAAAATGAAAGCACCTAGAGAAAAATAGCATATACAAAACCAAATATTGGCATTCTACTGTTTGTATTTGCCTGCCCTACATCAAAAGTTTTATAATTTAAAGCAAATTTTTTTTAGTGTCTTTTTAAATTTGCTATATGTAGTACATGCATTCATTACAGAGAGTGAGAGAAAAAATGAGAAAGCACCCCACAGGGCAATCAGCCATGCTGCAATCTCTTCTTCTCCATTGTCCTATTGGGATTTTGGACACAGAGCTAGCATGTTCTTTAAGCTGTTAGGTCCAGAACTCAAAGACCCACACAGCTGGCCATGTAGGATCCAGCCGCTTTAACCACCACGCCACTAGCTGGCCCAGCAAATTTCATTTTTACAAAGCTATTTTTAGAGGAATTTTGTAAAGAATAAAATATTGAAGAATAATTTCACATGGTATATGATGGAAAGAATCCTGGGCTGGGATCCACGACACATGGATTTTGTCTTGGTTCTCCACTATCCAGAAACTAATTAATTAATTGGCAAGCATAGCACCTCTCTAGGCTCAGAACAAAGAGGTTGAATTAGGTGATTCCAATGCCCTTCCAACTCTATTTAGTGACTGTGATTTTACTCTTTCTTTTTCACATAAAATTGGTCCATTTGTGTTCTTTTTACTATTTGAGATTTCTCATAATTTTTGCCAATGCAAACTTTCACTAAAATTACTTCATTTATATTTAAGGGTTTTTCTATATCTGAGCAACAGAAATAAAGTATTGCGTCCCCCTCCCTTTCTAAAAATTGTCTAAAGGCCCATGCACTCATTAGAGAGAGTGAGAAAACACCCCCCCCACCCCAGCATAGTCAAGATGCAGTCCTTGTTCCTCTCTCCATTTCACCATCCCATCACAATTTCAGGCACCACACATATGTGCCCAGTGCATTTTTCAAGCCATGAGGGCTGGGATTTGAGCTGTGGTCCTCCACATGTGGTTCTTTAACCACTGCCTCAGAACTCCCTTCTGAATGTTTGCCTCCCTCTAGATTTCTGTCTCTTAAGCATTTTCTTCAGCCTAGGCCAGAAGCACAGGGCTTCCAGTTTAGATTTCCTCAGGAAACAGTCACCTCTCTGTTTTTGCAACTTACCAACCCATTATATTGTAGCAGAGCCAGTTACAGGCCAGGTCAGCTCAGGACTGATCTACAAATGACATTAAATCATCACATAATAAGTTTAAACAGACTCCACACATGCCTCCATGCATACCTGACAAAATGAAAATTGGCTCCATCACAACTTAAGTAGATGGTACGTTCATGTGAGGAGAAAAGAAATTGCCCATAAGTATTTCTGCAGTGCATGCCAGAAACTGTACTGTGAGCCTCACCATCGGAAGACCTTGCCACCACTCTAAGTAACGTGTTAGACAATTACTCAAGGTTAGCAGAGTCATACAGCTGAACTTTCAAAAGAAATAGTACATGAAGTTGTGCTGTTTACAAGAATGAATGGCTTAGTTTAATATTTCAGTTTTGGATAGTATGTTATGCTCCTATGTAGCTGTCTAGGGTAGAAAACTTGCATATAATAAATCTTGAACATAAAAACAGGCATTAAATAAAAGGGAGTGGTATACCAGGAAAACTAAATACAGACACACAGAAATAAGAGTTCAAAACAACTAAGAAAATGGCCAATTTAACAGTAGGAGCAAGTCTGGAGTTGAATTTAATTGATAAGATCGGACCACAGCAGAAGATACATGGCATACATGAGACTGAACTGGTGAAATAGAATCTTATGACTTTTGACTAAACATTACTGATTTTCTTCTATGCTTTGTTTTCTGGATTTAAGGGTTTTTGTCTTATATTGAGCTGCTGATAGGTTCAAGTACCTACTATTTTTTTATTTTTATTTCTATTTTTTTGGAGAGGTTTTCGCTACAGGGTGCAGGCGCTCACCAGACAGACAGAGAGAGACACAGAGACAGAAAGCGAGAAATCACCCTCCGGGAGGGATGATCACGCCTCAATCCCTTCTCCTCCATTCTCCTCTCGGGATCTTGGGCACGCACGCACACGCGCCCGGTGTGAGTTTTAAGCCACTGGGTCCGGGACACGAATGGCGGTCGACTACATGGGAGTCCAGCGAGATAGCCATTACGCTAACTGCTGGTTCCCTTGTACCTACTATTTGAACAGAATCCTAACCTGTTTCCTGGCTTTAAATTTTAAGCAAAGCTCTCTTAGCATTTCTTTGATTTTGATTTGTTAAAGTTAAAACTGCTTTACTTGAAATTAAAAAAATATATTAAAAATAAAAAAACAGGCATACAACTTGGATAAATGTAAGATTTTTTTGTCTATATATGATAATTAATTATATACATATCAACTTGGTTAGGCTGTGGTGCCCAGTTGTTTGGTCAAACACCAATCTAGATATTGTTGTCAATGTATCTTATAGATATTTATTTATTTTTAACAATTATTTAATTTTATTTATTATGATTATTATTTTTTCTTCTTTTTTGGAGAGGTTTTTGCTATAAGGTGCATGCACTTGCCAGAAGGACAGAGAGAGACAGAGATACAGAAAGCGAGAAATCATCACCTAGGGGGGATGGCCATGCTTCAATTCCTTCTCCTCTATACTCCTCTCAGGATCTTGGGTATGCACACACACATGCCCAGCGTGAGTTTAAGCCACCGGATCCGGGACTCAAACTGCAGTCGACTACATGGGAGTCCAGCAACATAGCAATTATGCCAACTGCTGGTTCCTATGATTATTATTTTTAAATTTGCTATAAACACTAACCTAGGAGAGTGAGAGAAAGTGGGAAAGCAAGCCACCAGTTCTGGGACTCAGACTACGGTGGGCCATGTGGCAGTCCAGTGTTTTTACCACCATGGCACCTGCTTGCCACAGATGTGATTCATATTTAAATGGGTAGACTGTGAGTGAAGCAGATTGCTCTCCATAATGTGGGTAGGCTTCTTCAGATAAACTGGAGGCCCAGAGGGCGAAAACTGAGATTTCTGGAAGAAGAAAGAATTTGGTCTCAAGACTATAAAATAGAAACTCTTGCTTGAGTTTACATACATTTCCTGGAAAGGAAGGAAGCGAGCCTAAAGAACATAGAAACTCCACCTAATTTTATATCCATTTTCTCAATCTTTAACAATAGTTGCACAAGATAAGGGAAGCATATTATCCTAGTTTTTCAGATAACAAGCCTGAAGGGCAAAGGGATTTAGGAATTTGACAACGGTGAACGTGTTAGAAGTAGTAAAACCTAAATTCAAATCCAGGTCTCCCTGACCAGAGTTCCTGCATTTCCAACCACTACACCACTACCCTCCTAAAAACGAAATGCAAAGAAGAACCACAGTTCACCATTTATTTACTCTTTATATTTAGTATTCAGAAGTTTAGGGTGTGTCTTGCTGTGGATTTCTTTTGGTTTATCCTGGGTGGTGTTTGTTCAGCTTTTGGAATTTATAGATTTATGTTTTTTGCCAAATAAGGGAAGTTTTCAGCTACTTTTTCTGTGTTTTTCTTTTTTTGAGTTATTTTTCAGTCCCACCTTTCTCTCCTCTTTATCCATATCTCCAATGGGGGGAGGGGAGCTACTTTTTGTTATAGTCCCACAGGTTCCTGAGGCTCTGTTTAGCCTTTTTTTCCAGTATATTTTCTGTCTTTTGTTCAAGTTGAGTCATTTCTATATTCTACCTTCCAGTTCACTGTTTCTTTTTTCTGTCTTCTCCATTCTGCTGTTAAACTATCCGTTGAGTTTAATTTCATTGTTACAATTTTTCATTTTTTTAATGTATAATCGGCGTTTTATTTTTTCCCCAGAGGACAGACATTTCTTCAGTCCTTATAGACTAGGCTCCTTACACAGGCTTTGGTGGAGGGTGAGGGGCAGCATCTGCAGGTCTAAATCAGGGTGGGGGTGTTCGGTCCTTGTGAGCTTCACAAGATCGGTTCCTGACTACCTTGCTCTGAGTGGCGCAACTCACACAGTAATGTAGCTTCACATACAGCTTGGGGAACACATAGGCTTCGAAGACACTTGCTTCAGAGGTGTCCCTGATGGCTGCGGCCTCTACCATGTTTTGGATGACAAACTTCATAGCCTTGTCCTTGGGCACGCATCGGGCGCAGCTCATGCAGCGAATATGCTGCACATGGCCAGGCCCTTTTTAGCACGGCCTTTGGTCCTTCTTTTCTTCATCATCGCAAAAGCGAGGCCACGAGAGCCAGTTTTTCATTTTTAAACTCCCATTTGGTTCTTTATACTTCTCATTGCTTAGCTGAGATGTTTCTCTCTTTGTTGAGATTTCCTATTTTTTTCACTTACAAGTTTGCTCTTAATTGCTCTGTCAATAATTATCTGAAGAAGCCTACCCACATTATGGAGAGCAATCTGCTTCACTCAGAGCTATCTTATGTTTGTTTTACATATAATATCTAGGATCTTTAATTGTATGTAGCAGGAGGATTAGGTTAAAAATATGTCTTCCCCCTATTCTTTGAGCGCCCAAGAAGTCAATCTGTCAAACAGTTTTACAGATAGCTTTATGTAAGTCCAATCGCCACAAGTCTTAAAAATGTTTTAAAATTCATACTGGTGGGCCTTTTCACCAAATCTAGTCCCTGCCTACCATCTTGGTTTTTGTTTTTAATTTCTCTCTCTCTTTCCTTTTCTTCTCACTGGTCTTTACCCTTTCCATTTAGTGACAACCCACTAGATGATCTTCCCCACACTTCTCTGAAATCTTAGCAAAATTTATCAAATACCGGTTGTGTGCATAGCTTGACAAAATGTGTCCTACTAGAATTTTCCGTTGCCCCTGAGCAGACAAAAAAACTTCTTAAACAGTTTTATCTTGTTGTTTACTAAGTAGCCCTGACTAGGTAAGTCACAATGATTATTTCAGACTCGTTTCACATTATCTTCTAAAATACTTTTATTTTAGAAGAAGCCACTGTGTGCTTTAAAAGACCACCAATTCAAAGTCATCTTTAGGAAAGAAGCAACAAAATGAGATAAATGGCATCAGGTTTCTGCTTCCTTTCTTAAGTGATATCATTGAACTAATGGGTTAAACTTCGAAATCTTTAATGATACAGCTCGATACTGAGCACAATGGTCATTCGTGCCTTTTAATTTCTTTAGAACATATTTAATATATTTTCCCGTCAAAATACGTGGAGTGTCTGGTCATCTGAATGAAGAAATAAGTTCTACTTCCCATTCTCCAACAGAAACCCTGATTTGACAGTAGCAGGTGAACAAAAAATACCTTTATGAGAAGTGCAGAGTGTAGTTAAGAAGTTTCAATATTCTGGAAAAAATACAAAACCAAAACCAACTTATACTTGAAATGTGTTAGAGGAGCAATTTTACTTTACCTATGTCAGCCCCTCCCCAAAGGCAGCACAGCTCAGTGCTGAGAAAGATAGCCTTGCCCCACAATTTCTTTATTGGAGGGTGGAGCATTCTCTCTCTCTCTCTCTCTTTCTCTCTCTCTCCTCTCTCTCACTCTCTCTCTCTCTTTCTGGTGAATGTGTGTGTCCTGTAGCAAATTTAAAAATAATAATAATTATAAATAAAATTAAATAAATAATTCTTATTTTTAAAAAGTGTATTGTGCATGGCCACTGCTTCTTTATGTTGTTAACCTTCCAAAGAAAAGGTTTTATGGAGGCAGGACTCAGGAGCCACGGGGGAGGGGAGAAGGAAGAGGTGGGTAGGAGAGACAATGGGTGGAGTATAACAGGTAGAACGAAGTTCATGTGTTCACGTCCTGGCTGTCCTGGCTACAAAGGAGCCTGTGAAAGTAAATATACATGGGACATTGTCAGCTTTTATCATAGCCTAGGAACTCTGGGAAACAACATGGAGTATTCTAAAATATCAGGAAGACATTCAAATGATGAGCAGTCAAAAATAATGGCAAATACATCAGTCTCATTAAAGCCCTTGTGAGCAACAGCTGAGAGTGTGAGCTTTGGAATAAACTGCCTAGGTTTGGGACATCTCATATCCTAATGGTTAAGGAAGCAGGATTCCATATGGCCAGCCATAGAATCCCAGCTCCCAGGAACTTGGAAAAACACTCTGGTACATGTGTGTTCAAAAATGACCAAAATTCCAACAGGATGGAGAAATGGAGAAGAGATAAAGAAGTGACCATGCCCTATTGAGAGGTTCTCTCTTTTTCTCTTTCTCTTTCTTTTTCTCTTTCTCTTCCTCTTATGCATGCATGAGCACACAACTCCAAAAAAAAAAAAAAAAAAAAAAAGCCTAGGATCCAGTTCAAGGTCTGGTGCTTCCTTATGTCTTCCTTATGTTTTAATTTCTTTAAGCCTCATTTTGCTTATATACAAAATGGAAAAATAAATAGAACCCTGCCCAGATTGCTAATGTAGGGATTAAAGAAGGTGATGGTCTATTGGAAGACAAGTTAGTACTCTGAAGATGTTCAGTCTTACTTAACCCTTGTCAGAATGGCAAAGATTAAAAATATAAAAAGTGCTAAGTGTTGGCAGGGATGTGGTGAAAGGGGTACTCTCTTACACTATTGGTGGGAATGTAAACTGGTTTAGCCATTGTGAAGAACAATATAGAGGTTCCTCAAAGATCTACAAATAGTACTACCATTTGATCCAGCAATCCCACTTCTGGGTATCTATCCAAAGGACAAGAGAATACGCAATCAGAAAAGCACTAGCACATCAATGTTTATTGCAGAATTATTCATGATCGCTGAGACATGGAACCAACCCAAATGTCCACAAACAGATGATTAGAATGAAAAAATGTGGCACATATACTCCATGGAATACTACTCAGCCATAAAAAACAACAAGACCCTAGCATTTGATAAAAAGTGGTCGGACATGGAGGATCTATTGCTGAGTGAAACAAGTCAGGATATGAAAGAACGATATTGTATATATCCACTTAATATATACCAACTATCCACATTTTATGGTAGAGATTGAAATATTGGAGGGCATAAAAGCAGTGAAAATAATTAGGGATGCTGAAGACAGTGTGGAATGGGAGAAGGGAAGAGTATAGAGAAGGATACCTAGAGAACAAATAGAGAGGAATGGCATTAGTGGGACACAGAAATGGTTTATTACCTATTGATGATAACATGTATAGTATTCTCAACTGGACTGGTCTGAGAAGTATTTCATCTTGGGTAAATTCTTTTACAAGCCAAATGAGATGTAGTGATTGTTTAAAAAGTGAGAACAATAATAATAATAATCTGGAAAAAATAATAAAAAGCTATTGGATGATGATGATGTAGATAGTAATGTCTTTGTCTTGACTGATATGCAAGGTATTCCTTCTGGAAAAAGAAATGTAATACACTATAAAGATATATGTGATTCGATGTAGTATAAACAAGACCATGATAATAATAAACAAAATTTTAAAAATGAAAAAAAAAGACGTTCAGTCTTTCCTGTTTGTAAAGATTCTAGTGTCAACTTCTCAGATTACCTTGTTCTTTCATCGTCCAAGGAAAACCAAAGATGTTGTTAGTGCTTGGAAGATCTAGGGGCTGGGAAAGTAGCTGGGAGAAAACAGAAACTTTTAAGAATTTTGCCCTAAAAAAGCATTACATGTGGTCTTGCTGCATCTTTTGTAGTATTAAGGAAATGTTAGTAATGAATATGATCCTTAACAATTCTGTTTCTGATTACTTGACCAAGTTTCTTTTAGGTAACGCTCCCTGAAGACTGAGTCAAGCATGTCATAGTCATTAAGAAGAAAATGAACATGAAAGTGAAACAGCACATTCTCTTGTATGGGGTGGGGTCGGAGGAGGCGTAGTGGACAGCCGGAACTTTCATCACTGCTAGCGGTAACGTGACCATTCCCTTCATGAAGCCGTTTTCACAAGGTCACACAGATGGTAATCAGCAGAGTCAAGTTTGATAGCTCCAGCATCTGCCCTCTTCCCCTGTTCTACGCAGCCTCATCCTACAATGTGTTTATTACAAAACATTTAGGAAATTTTAAAAGTATCAAGAAAGTCTCCAAGTTTGTGTGTGACATCAATAAACCCAGAAACAAACCTTCCACCTTATGCCGCTTGACCCATTTTCCAATCAGAGGTAAGTGCTGTTAACATCCTTCTGTTCTAAAACCAACCAATGCGACTTTCCTTTTATTTATTTATTTACTTATTTAGGAGAGATTTTTTTTTGCTATAGGGCACATGTGTTCACCAGAGAGACAGAGAGAGATGGAGAGAGAGAAAGCAAGAAATCACTCCCAAGGGTGATTATTCCTCTTCCATTCTCTCGGGATTTGGGGCATGCACACACATGTGCCCAGTGTGAGTTTCAAGCTGCCAGGCCTGGGACTCAAATCATGGTTGACCACATGGGAGTCCAACTCCTTAACTACTACCTGCTGACTGGGAAGTGTGACTTTTCTAACCAAAACACAGTTAACGTGACTCCTTTTAAGAATGGTCAATCATTAGGAAAACAATTATTTGCAGAGGTCCAACCATGTGACCCAATTCCTTTGCCATCCTTTCTTCAATATTAAAATCCTCATTATTAAAGTGAAGTTAACTAGCATTCTAATTGTGTATTTGCATAAAGACTCCATTTTTTCCCCCCTCATTCATAGTTTTCAATGTTTGGCAATCTTGGCACCGAAGGTCAGGATTTGAAAGCTGCTCTGGACCCCCCACTGGCTTTATTTACAACCTCATACAGTTCCCACATAGTTACAGATGGGTCCTTAGGCCTTAGTCTATCACAGATTTCTTTCTGGAACGCATGAGGAGTGACCCAGATTTTTTTAAATGCCTCCAATCTCCTTTGAAACAGCAGCTGCTTCAAAGGAAAGCTCTATTATGAAGAATACAAACAAAATATCTCAGCTGGGAGTTTTCTTGGAGATTTTAGATTTTATAATTTGCCATTTAATAAGATTTTTTTACATGTGCAAAGAGAAGGCATTCTGCCACCGTGAACTGTTTCATTCGATCAGAGTTCAGTACCACGTGGCTGAGAAGGCAAAGATAATCTTACCATCCATCTAGCTAAGCAGATCAGCCAGAACGCTTCATAATTACAACTCAGGAGAGCTGAGCAGGCTGCGATGGAAGATAAGGCCTCTATAACCATCTACAAACACTGCTAATTTTCCTGAGC